CTTGATCTTACATGCATGAGATTTGGAGTTTCACAAAGCAAGGTTTGAATCTCAGCTCTCCTCCTAGCTCTCCAACCTTTGGAAAGTTACTTACTAACTTCTCTGAGCCTCATTCTCTCATCTGTAATAGGCTATCCACTTTGGAGAACTGTAGAGAGCTAAAGGTAATAATTTATGTAAAGGAACAGTACAATACCCAGATGAAATATTATATTTCCTCCCATGATCCCTATGGGCCAAATTAAACTAAAAACTAGACCCTGTTCTTCTTGACTTATAAGATTATTCCATCTCCATTGCAGAGATCAGAATAAACCTGTAGTAATCCTGGGGCAAATCCTACTAGTTTGCTTTTGAGTAATTATTTGATAAGAAAAGCTTAATTTTATTGTCTTGAAATTCATCTCTTTTCTTCTTTAAATTGGGAACAGAAAACAATGACAAATTTTAAGTTAAATTGGTTACATGTAAATTCAGCACTTTCATACTGTCTTACTGAACTGAAACTCTAAGCCCATTACAACCCCACTAGAAGAGAGGAACTACAGAACCAATGTGTGCGAAGAGGAAAGGGTGTAAAGTCCAAAAGACACAGTTGAAATGATTCACTCAAGTGAGTGGTTTGCTTTGTTTAACCTTAAATTCATGTATTAAACCTTAAAAGAACAACATTCAGAGTTCAGAAGAGCCAAGACCTATCTCCAAGCCTCAAGGTGATTTAGTAACCTGATCCCTCAGATTAAACAAATGCCATCTTTCAGTACGTACAGTTTCAGGATGTGTCTAGTCACTTCCAAGACAGGAAAGTATCTACCAAAGTATCTCACATGCAGCAGTATACACTGAAATAAGGCCATCTTTTCCTCTGTCCGAAACATAGTTCAGACTAGCTCACCCACATATTTCCTATTAGCTCATTTCAGTAGAATGACTTTTCCCCCATATATTAAGTAATGCCCATGTACTTAAACTGGAAAAATACAAAGAATATGAGCATTTTTAAGCCACCCATGATCTTACCAGCCAAAGATTAAAATATTAGAAAGGAACATACCAACATCTTTCCTATGAATCTGTACACCATATTTTAAGTTTGTACAGAGCCACTAAATATGAGTAACTTGCCACTAAATATGAGTAACTACCAGCTTATACCTTAGTATCTTCATTCTGGTTTTTGAGACTAAATTCACATAACTTTTTTCCTGACTTAACTCAATGGTTCGTCAGAGTCTCTAAGCTACACATGTTGTTGACTACTTTCTCTATTTCTATCCTAAGTTTTCCAAAACAGTATATTCTTCAAGATCTACAAAAGTCTCTCCAACTCCTCTTCTTCTCTCCCTTCACTGTCTCTCTTCTATTAATTCCTGACAATTTATTTTAAAATGGCTCAGGCCAGGGGTGCCTGGGTGGCTCAGTAGGTTAAGCAGCTGACTTCAGCACAGGTCATGATCTTGCCATCAGTGAGTTCGAGCCCTGCATCAGGCCCTGTGCTTACAGCTTGGAGCCTAGAGCCTGCTTCAAATTCTGTGTCTCCCTCTCTCTGCCCCTTCCCCATTCACACTCTGTCTCTCTCTTTCAAAACTGAATAAATGTTAAAAAAAAAAATTGTTTTTAATAAAAT